GGTTCGACCCCGGGAGGGGCCACTCAGCGCGGCCAGTGTGCGCGGGGAGGGGCGCGGGTCCCCTGCGCGCTGCCGGCGCCGGCACAGATTGGGAAGCGGTGTCCCCCTGGTGTTTCCCCGGAGCAGCCCTGATTTCGAGCCGCGCCTTCTTGCCAATAGGTGTCTCCTCTTCTCTAGCGCTGAGTGCGCGCCCTCGGCCTGCGCCGGTGCAGCCTCGCATTGAGTCCCCGCGGTAGAAACTCAGTTCAAATGCGGGCGGTTGGGGACGGGTGAGGTTAGGGCCGACAGAACCACAGAGGACACTCTGGGATGAAGTGACGTTTGGGGAGGCCTGTGTTCTTGCCCTGTGGGGCGAGGCCACCTTGTGGCTTCGAAGACCAGCCAAACAGGAGGTGTGGGGGCCGCGCCCCTCCGCGAGCGCGCTCTCCAAGCGCCGGCCTCCAAGTCCGCCTCCGCGGCTGCTGAGCCCTTCGGGCCGTCGGGCTGGAGGCCGGATGTAGGACTGAACCGGATCAAACGCGCTGTCCGAATACAGCCCCTGAGCGTAGCGGTTTTCAGTTCTGTGGACGCGAGAGTGCCGACCGTAGGAAACGCTTCAGGACACTTTGGAAGGGGGCCGCCAAGTTTCCAGGTGCTTGTGCAGGGTCACAGGACGGCACGTCAGCCCTGAAGCCTGGTGATGGCAGGTCCCCTGCGGACGGTGCGCTCGCCGCCCTCCGTAGGGCAGCCTCCCAGTGCCAGTCCGCTTTGTCCCTCACAAGGGCCACCAGTGAGCGGGGAGCCGGGTCCTCCTGCGGGGAGGGGAGGCTCCCTCGGGTGTCTGGAAACGTCAGGAAGGGGGTGACTAGCACCCCACGGAGGCATTTGGTTGACAAGCGCACGGGGGAAGCTGGGCGACATCTTCCCAAATGCCTTCTCAGCGCTGAAGCAGTTTATTTAAATTATCTTAAGAAAGCTGGCAAACCTGCGGATGGGATGGGTAACGCGTGCTGGTATTTATAAGGGCGGACATCCTTCTGCGGAGCGCCAGCAAGTACACGCGGCTGCTTCCTGCGGCGTCCAGGGAGCGCCAGGCCTCAGAGCCGGTTTCCAGAGAACGCCCGCCCCTGGGGCCGGTTACCTTTAGCAGACGGCCGGGACCACAGGCTCAGCCGAGTCCTGCCGTCAGCGGCCTGGAGTCCTAGAGCTTTCCACCTATTGTGTGTCAAGGTGGGAAGATGTATCTTACGTTTCTTACCACTTCATGTGAATTTAGAAAGTGTCAAAATGCAAACATCAGGAAATGTTTACAGACCAGCCTTGCCATTAAAAAAAAAAGTTAAAAAAAATTGAGGTTTTGAGCGAAAACCCTTGGACACTTATTTCAAAGTTTTCCCCACGTGTTTCTTATCACTGCTTTAAAACTAAAAACGCGGGCCTTTCTAAGTTCAGGGTTTTGGGGTTTTTTTTGTTTGTTTTTTACTTGAACAGTCAGGGGTCCGTCCTGCAGCAAAGAACCTTTTCATGAAGACAAGAGAGGAAAAACCATCTCTGGGGGCGGGGTGAGTTTTCCTGTTTCCTACTTGGGGAGATGTGTGTCAGAAAGTCTCTGCTGAAAGGCGGTGCCAGGTGCAGGGCGCCCTTTGACTAAACAAATACCGTGTGTTTTATGAGGACGGCAGAATTAGGCTAACCGGAAAGTGCGGTCCATCCATCGTAAAGACAGGACCTCCGACAGAGGCAGGGTCGCCCCTTCGGGCCAGCGCCCCTCCTGCCAGGGCGGGGGCACTAGGTGCCTTCTCAGAACCTGAGCACTGCCTGCCTCCCCTGGTGTAATGAGCACCTGGGCCCAAGCTCATTAGGCCCTGTTGTTTCTGATGTCCCGGAGCTGGTCCCCCCCCAATGCTGAGAAACGCAGGCCTGTAGGTAGCCGCCCACCCACCCATTCAGAGGTTGCTCCACACTGAATGCCCCAGGCTCCCCTCACAGAACAAAGCGCCCCTGTTCTCCCGCGTTAGCTTCATGGCCTTGTTCCCTCACCCAGATTAGAAGGGCGATGGCGCCCACGGTGTCACACTCAGGGCCGGAGCCTGCACCGGGGACACCCACAGCCTCGAGGAAGTGCCAAGCTAAACATTCCCTTCGAGACAGGGGTGTCTGCTAAACTGGCTAATAGCTCACCCCCCTTATAAGATGAAAGTCTTGGGGTGCTGGTAAGAGGAGCATTTTAAAAAGGGGCCACGGCACCGGGTCCCCTTGGTTGGGGATCTGAAACCAGGTGGGGACCAGCTCAGCCCTGGGATGAGCAACCCTGAGTCCTGGATCCTGGGGGCCCAGGGCAGGAGTGTCCACCCGCCCTCCCCAGGACAGTGGAGCAAAGAGTTTGTGTCAATTTTACGCAGAGGTGAGAAGGCGGCTTGAAGTTAAAAAAACAAAACAAAACACAAAAACAGAAAATGATACGTTGCGGCTTAGAAAACAGAACTTCCATTTGCCTGAAGGTCAGCAGAAAAAGCTAACTAAAACAAAACAACCCTCCAACATACATCTCAAAGTGAGAACTATTATTAGAAACTAAATCAGGCCAAAGTGAACTATAGTTTATCACTGGAGAAAACCAGCCCTTTGCAAAGGGTCACGGGAGAGAAGCTCGGGGTGCGGGCGGGTCACGTGGTCAGCGGGGTCTCTGCTTCTGGAAAAAGCAATGCCCGCAGGGCAGAGGGCCTGCGGGGCATTAAGGAGGGGAAATTAGCAGCAGAATGGCCATCGCGGACCGGGGGCCGCCCCTCCTTCTACTGGACACCCCGAGTGTGCGCTTCTCTGGCGCAGTGGCCCCGCTGCTCCCTTCTGTGGCAGATGTTGGCTTGACCGGTGCCAGGCCCCTGGGGACAGTAAACAGCTGGGAGAAAGACGAAGGGCACCGGAGGCGCTGCGCGGGCCTGGCCCTTTGCGCCCAGTGTTGGTGGGTGCGCTGCTCCGCGCCCCCTGGGCTCACGCCCCGCTCAACCCCGAGGGGCTCGGGGCTGCCACGCGGTGGCGGGGGGTCGGCTCCGCACGCCCCGGAGGGTGCTGTGAGTTTTAGGAGGAGGGAGGCTGGAGGAAGGGGTGTCACAGAAAGAAGGGCTGCCTTAGAGGCGCGGCCTGGGAGTCAGACGCCCGAGGCAAGAAAGGCCTAGGGACCTGGCGTGAACGCGGGTGCGGGCGCCTGGCCCCGCCCGCCGTGGGGGCGCCCTGGTCCCACTGGAGCGCCCCTGTTCCCCCTGCGCTTTCGGCGGTGCCCTGAGCCGCGGGGCTGGCGGTGGCACTTGGGGTCCAGCCGGGATGCTCGGGCCTCGCGGGAAGCGCCACCCCCTTCCTCCCAGAAGAGGACGGAGAGCGTGAGAGCCTTAAAAGAAACAAAGTTGCAGACGAAGTCAGCGGGCCTGGATACAGTGTCGCCGTCGCGCTGGGGAGCAGTCGCTGCTCTTTGCGCCACTTGGTGTCACGGAGGAGTCGGCGGGGACCGCGGGGGTCCCGGACAGGACCG